GCTCTATTGCCCAGGCTGGAGTGTAGTGGTGTGATCTCAGCTCACTACAACCTCCACCTCCCGGGTTCAAGTGATTCTCCTGCCTCAGTCTTCCACGTGCTGGGACTATAGGCGCGCCCCACCATGCCCGGCTAATTTTTGTATTTTTAATAGAGATGGGGTTTCACCATGTTGGCCAGGCTGATCTTGAAGTCCTGACCTCAGGTGATCCGCCTGCCTCGGCCTCCTAAAGTGCTAGGATTACAGGCGTGAGCTACCGTGCCCAGCCTAAGATGCTTATTTTTAAAACATGTTGGAAATTACTGTTTTAATATGATGCTCTCTTTTCCTTATTCTTCCCTTTTTATGCCAAGGAAATGGCCCAATGGCACTAAAACGCTGCTGATAACCCTCAGCACAAAACTCTACTTCAGCTTTTCGGTAAGTTTATTTTCTTCCCAATTTATAGGACACCAGAATGAGTACTGAAAAGTCTCCTGAGGAACTGAACAGGATTTTTGAAAAATATGCAGCCAAAGAAGGTGATCCCAACCAGTTGTCAAAGGATGAACTGAAGCTATTGATTCAGGCTGAATTCCCCAGTTTACTCAAAGTAAGTAGCCATCTGCAGAGACTGCTTAGTGGGACTAATGGAGGGAAGGGAGCAGGGGAGAGGAAACGACCCGAGTAGAGCTTTGTAAGGACCATCACTTGAGGGAAGACACACGCAGGTAGGCTTTCTTCCCCTTAAGTCAGGCCACAATTCAGAAGGCAAGCTCTCAGAAAACAAGGGCCAAGCCTTCTATCCCTCCCACAGCCTCAGCACAGGACTCTGTAGGACTAGCCATGTTAAATGGAAGGAATGCCAAGCTATGCCTGGAAGCCCAACAAGTTACCAAGCAAACCCACCAAGGCCTTCAGCATCGATTCGGTACCTCTGTTCCAGGCTTTAGGAAAACAAAGAGGACTGCAAAATAGTGTTGCTGGCCTTGGACGGGCTTCATTTTTATATGTAAAATCCCTCAACAAGACCAACACTTACTTGGCAGTCTGTTATGAAAACCGACTGACAAATTGCCTTGTCAGAATTCATTTATATTTCAAAAGCATTTAAATTTGTGTTCATCACTTAAATTTGTGTTAATGAGACAACTATGCATGTCTAAACAACTTTCTAGAAAGAACTAAATTTCCTTGGCCATAAAGTTTCGCATCAAAACCACCCAGAGTTGTCAAAATCAAAATGCATTCAAGGCAACAGACTGCAGAGAAGAGCTGATCCTCCTCGCTCCAATATACAGTACCTTCTTTCCTTTTGTTAAAGAAAAAACTGATTCAGGACACTTACTAAAGATGGTAAGACAGGCTTACTCCAGGAGGGCCATGGCGATCCGTATAGGCACCACGGAAACGGGATCTTGCCATAGTGAGCGAGATTGGGCTCAACTCCAAAAAGGACAAGTAGAGGTTTACGACCAAGCGGCAGGTTGGGGGACCAGCGGATGGAAAATTACCAATGAAACATCCAGCATAAGGGGTTTCTGGCTAAATTGCCTTGACAGGATTCTAGCTGAAGGCAGGCCATATGATCAAATATCAAGGATGGTCAGATTCAAAAACAGAGAGGGAAGCCCAACGTCAGGCCTAGT